TTTTTCTTAGCTATTTGAGAGCCAATTCTTGAAGAAATTGTCGTGTTCTTGAGCGTTTACTAGTTCACTCATATCTACTCTTTGTGAGAGTTTTATTCCTGAGTGTTTAAGTGTTTTCATACACTTTAAGGGAGGTTGTTCCCTTGTTGTAAACTCAAAGGAAGTTCCTTGTTCCTTCGTGAGAAGTCTTGGAGTGCGGTATCTCCGAGCAAAGGTGTTGAGGCTCGTGTGACTCGGGTTCTCAAGTTGTATCGGTTTGTTAAGCACCCTTAAGCTTAACGAAGTTAGTGTAGCTCGAGAGAGTCTCTCGGGGGGCTGGATTAGCCACACGTTGTGGTGAACCAGGATAAAATTCGGTGTGCTCCTTCCTTACGCTCTTTACTTTAACGCTCTCGTTTTAATTTCCTGCGATTTTGTTTTAAACGCTATTCACCCCCCCTCTAGCGTTGGGCCTTTATTCTAACAATTGGTATCAGAGCCATACTCTCTGAAAGACTTAACCGTTTGAGAGAAACGATCAATGGCTTCTACTCAAAGTTCATACGCAGGTTTAGGTGAAGGGCAATCCACCACGAGGCCTCCATTGTTTGACGGAACAAACTACACTTATTGGAAGGAGCGGATGAGAATTTACATCCAATCCACCAACTTTCTCCTTTGGAGAATTATCAAAAATGGTGAGAACGTGCCAATGAAGAAGGTCGAGGAAACCAACGTCCCTAAGACCGAGGATGAATATGATGCACAAGACATCAAGAAGGTGGAAAACAATGCCAAGGCCATCAACATCATCTATTGTGCTGTTAACCTGGATGACTACCGGAAGATTTCTTGTTGCACCACTGCAAAGGAAATGTGGGACAAACTAGAAATCACCTACGAAGGTACGGATCAAGTCCGAGAAGCTAAAATTGATTTTCTAACCCATGAATATGAATTGTTTCGTATGAAGGAAAACGACAAAATCGATGAGATGTTTGAACGATTCTCCAAAATCGTCAATGATCTTCATGCTCTCAAGAAGACGTACACGGACAAGGAGCTTGTGAGAAAAATCCTGCGAAGTCTCACACCGGAGTGACGCTCCAAAGCCGATGCCATTCAAGAGTCCATCGGCATCACCAACGTCACCATTGACGGACTTAGAGGTAACCTCAAAACCTATGAGTCCACCATTCTATTCCCTTCTTTAGGTGAACAAAAGAAGAAGGGGATAGCACTCAAGGCTACCTCAAGCCAAGAACCCGCCATGGAGGAATCAAGCGATGAGGACAACGAGTTCGGGCTCGTCATCAAAAAGTTCCACAAGTTCATGCGAAAAGAGTATGAACGAAAGGGCAAAACGCATGGAGGACCACCCAAATGCTATGGGTGTGGAGAAGTTGGGAACATCAAGGCAAAATGCCCAAATGCCAAAAACGAGAAGGAGAAGAAACCGTTCAAGAAGCACCGAGCTTACATTTCAGGGGGAGGTGATTCCGGCGATGAGTCATCGGAAGGCGAAGAGAATGAAAGCGCCAACCTTTGCCTCATGGCACACGAGGAACCACCATAAGTGGTATGTACCACTTCTAAAGATTCCTATACTTTTGATGATGTACAAGAAGCCTTTAATGAACTTTATGATGAATATGTCAACGCTTCTAAAATTAACAAGGATTTGAAGAAACAACTTACTTCCATGGAGAAGGAAGTTGATAAACTATCAAAAGATAATGAAAAACTTAAAGAAGAAAATAAATTTTTCGGAAAGAGAAGCGCCGACAAACCGGAAAGTTCAAAATGTAGTTCTTGTATATCACTTAAGGATCAAGTTGCAAAACTTGAAGGATCTTTGAAGAAGTTTGGTGTTTCTCATAAAAACCTTAATGATGTTCTTGACAATTTGCAACTTACTAAACATGGCTTAGGTTTTGAAAATGAAACCAATAAGGAAAAAGTTGAGCAACCACCTAAACAACCTAAGGCTCAACCTAGGAAAACTAAAATGAACAATAATAGACAACCTACATCAACTAGGAACACTAGATCACCTAGAAAGAACACTAGGATAAACAATGATCAAGTTAGAGAATCTAGAAACCATTTTCCAAATATGCATAAACAAAACTTTTCTCAAACTAGGGTCAAGCAATATAGAAAACCTAGTAACTATTATCAACCTAGGAGAATGCATAATCCAAATGTTATTTTCCATTATTGCAATAGGGTAGGACATATAGCCCCGGTTTGTTTCACTAGGCATAGGCATTGCACTCAAAACCAATCACACTACCAACGTGCACCTAACGCCCAAGGACCCAAAAGGAATTGGGTACCTAAAACTTTTTAAATTGGTTTGTAGGTGTGCTTGAAGGCATCAAGTGTACTTTGGTACCTTGATAGCGGATGCTCCAAGCACATGACCGGAGATGCATCCAAGTTTTTGCAAATCAAACCAACTAAAGGAGGAAACGTTGTCTTTGGCGATAATAGCAAAGGCAAGATAATCGGCATTGGTTCGGTTGGTAAAAACGAAAACTCCTCTATTGATAATGTTTTGTTGGTTAAGGGTCTTAAACACAATCTCTTGAGCATAAGTCAATTGTGTGACAAGGGAAATCGTGTGACCTTCGATTCCAAATCATGTACGGTAGAACGTCTTAGTGACGATAAGACGATTCTTCGTGGTGATAGAATTGATAACATTTACATGGTTAACTTAGATGAATCTCCCTCCGACTTTGCAAAATGTCTCATGAGTAAGGAGGACGATATGTGGCTATGGCATCGTAGAGTAGCTCATGTCAACATGAATCTT